TATTAGACGCCTAATTGAGCGCTTAGTTGAGAGCGAGAGCGAGAGAGAGAGAGAGAGAGAGAGAGAGAGAGAATACTTTAATACTTTCAAATCTTTCAAAATTGTCCAAATATTGTATTTTCTTTTATTCAATTATACAATAATTGTATAAAAATATCTTTTAACTCAATTTTAAAGAATATTCTGTAACACAGAATATCTATAAAATTGAGTTTTAGTCCAGTAATTGAATGTTTAATTAACAAAATCATCAAATAATGACCACAATATTTGTGTACACTTTTAATGCGTTAAATTCTGTAATAAACAGAAAGTTTATTAAATATTAAAACAGAAATTTTTAATCAAAAGTACATTAAAAGCAAATGAGTGCACAGTTTTACACAACATGTAATACCACATCAATGTAGGGATGACTGAATGCTTGTCACCATTTCTCTCTCTCTCTCTCTCTCTCTCTCTCTCTCTCGCTCTCGCTCTCAACTAAGCGCTCAATTAGGCGTCTAATAGGCATTTGAGAGCCTCTTAAAGGGATTTAAATTCATCGCTTAAATGGCATTCATTTAATACTTGTATTGATTTTATGTAAAACACATTAATCTCTCATTTCATTGAAAGACATCACAAAAAGTGTGCAATTTTTCAAAGAATTGATTCTTGAGTTTCTTTTTCGGACGTAATTTATGGACAGATTTGAAGGAAAACACGAAAGCATTAATTGATTGAAACAAACCGTGGATTCAATGAGTGTTTGAATTGATGTCTGATTTAGTGATATATTTGTCTCTTTTGGTTCCGCTTCTGATTGTCGTCCTATTAGTGGTGTTAGTCTTGAGAGGACGTAATCGACAGCAAAGGGATGGCGACGACGACAACGATGGAGAGGAAGCCATGGCTGACAGACGGCGAAGACTATTGAGACAACCGATCGATGGCCACAACGACGGACCCGTTAGGCGACGTCAGGTCCGACACAATCGCATCCCTTTGAATGCCAGACAAGAAGAGGACGCGGAGGGCGATGAAGACGATGAGGGCGTCGACGACACAGAGCTGGCCATCGACGGCAAGATCGGCGCTAAGAAGCGCAAGAAGTTGGAGGCGAAGGCCGAGAAGAGGCGGGAGAGGGAGCGGGAGGTGACTGAACGCGAAGAACGGAAGGAACGGAACAAAGAGTTGGAAAACATTCGACTCAAAGAGGAAGAGAAGGCCAAACGCGAGGAACAGAAACGGGTTTGCATTTCCATACACTTGACATACATTTCTGGCCATTCATTGAATACTATGTTTTGAATTGACATTTGAAACACAATTATTGATAATAGCGTTAATGTCAACGATTGTCACTTCACTCCACACACTATACGTGTGGTGAGTGTTGTGGCGATCGTAAGGACCCATATGTTTAGTGACTGCCTTTTGATGACATTAATGTTTGTGTATTAGAAATGGATTTGTATTAATATATGAAATATATATAACAGTTAGAAGAGGAGCGTCTCATCAAAGAAGAGAAAGAGAGACAAGAACTCGAAGAATATCTCAAACTTAAAGAGTCGTTTGCTGTGGAAGAGGAGGGTTTCGATGACGACACGGACGAGACGGTGGCGCAGAACAAGTTGCAGACATTTATTGATTACATCAAAGGCCAGAAAGTGGTTCTCATGGAAGAACTCGCCGGACATTTCCATATGAAGATACAGGACGTGATACAGAGAGTGCAGGAACTGTTGGCCCAGGAGTTGATAGTGGGAGTGATTGACGACAGGGGAAAGTTCATATACATAACCAAAGAGGAGTTACAATCGGTGGCTAAGTTTGTGAGACAAAGGGGTCGCGTATCGATCACCGAATTGGTTGAAAGCAGTAATTCGTTAATCAATTTACAGCCCATCCAAGAGACGAGTGTCTCGTCCTGACCGGCAATCACTTGCCATTAAATCGCTTATTGTATTGTATTTAACAAACGGTTATTATATATAAATATATTTTATATAACATTGAGTTCATAATTTGTAAGTTATTTGTTAACTAAACGCTGAATTTAAGCTTAAACTACAGTAAAACTAGACTTTGATATGAAAATTATGTGTTATAAATATATTTGATAAATATTTTGTCAACTTTTTTCAACACTAACTTTGAATCCCAAGTGATTTGAGGCTAAGTTTTAGACTTATTTGTATGATTTAAACCCATTAGATATGATTTGTAATACTGGTAGTCTTACAATATGTTTGCTCAATATTTTTTGCTCAGAGGTTGGAAAATTGTGTTACAATTGTTTTGCAAAAATTGTCACAAATATGTGTTAATTCTCATCTCTCATACAAGTCATATATTTTAGTGAAAAGTTTGATAAATCGGTCCCTTTTTTCAATGATTATCATGAAAATTGGTTTTTCCATTACTATACAGTCATTCGTTTATTGGCCTCTCATTTGATAATTACTGTAAAATTCAATCGTATATACGTTTAGGGCTAACAATAGAAAGGTTTCATTCAATCAATCGCTCACTTCATACGCATATATCGCAGAAGAGCTTAATCTCAGAGCTTTTTTTTTGACGAAAAGTCTTAGACTTTTAATTCACATCTTTCTTAGAGATTAAGCGATTAATTTGATTAGCGATGGAATTTAAATGTTCTCTAAATGAGGATAAGCTTAAGTCCATTGCGAATATGATGGCCCAGAGGCCAGGCTATGGCATCGAGCAGATCCATGGCCAACGCTTTTACCGGCCGATAGACTTTAAATCACTGACTAAACCGGAAAAAGGGTGCGAAGTATTTGTTGGACGCCTTCCTCGAGATTGCTATGAAGACGAATTGGTGCCCATTTTCGAGAAGTTCGGTCAGATATACCAAATCCGGCTAATGATGGACTTCAGTGGCACTAATCGTGGCTTCGCTTACGTCCAATACATGGATCCCAAAATCGCCAGTTGTGTCGCCAAATCACTGGACGGCATCCCTATTCGAGACATCCATCCGATCG